AAAAGCTATATATAAAAATTACATAAAAACAAAAACATCTTTAAACGAAAAACTATACAAAGATTACAAACATCTATTTGAAAAAATGCGTAAAAATTTAAAAAAGAATTACTACTCGAAATTAATTGAAAATGTGAAGAACGACTCTAAACGTACTTGGAAAATATTAAGAGAAATTGGTGGAAAACAAAAAACTTGCTCAGGTTCCCTACCGCAGGTGATTAGAGTGGATAACAAAGATATTTTTGAACCTAGATTAATAGCTCATGAGTTTAACAAATTCTTTATTGATATCGGTTCGAAACTAGCAAATAGAAAATTCCTAATACCCAAGTTGTGTTCAATAACTTTTTAACACCGATGGATGATTGCATTTGTTCAAATAATTTATCTTCTGAGCTATCATTTGAGGAGTTTCAAGTGTCGTTTAAATCTATTTAAAAAAACAAAGCCCCTGGAGCTGATGAAATAAATGGAAACATAGTCTTAGAATGCTTTGAACAATTAAAAGATATTCTCTTTAAAAGTTTCAGAGCGTCAATGCAACAAGGAGTTTTTCCTGATGAGTTAAAAATAGCTAAGATAATCCCAATATACAAAGAAGGAGACAGAACTAATATATGTAACTACCGACCTATTTCTATTTTATCAACATTTTCAAAAATCTTAGAAAAAATTATTTACAATAGATTATATACTTATTTTAAGGAGAAGAATTTTTTTTATAAAAATCAGATTGGCATTAAAAAAAGTAGTTCTACTGAGCATGCAATCATTCGATTCGTCCGTGAAATCTCCAACTCTTTTAAAAATTCCCAATTCACTCTAGGTATTTTTTTGGATTTATCAAAAGCATTTGATACAGTAAATCATGGCATTTTGATTCATAAACTTAAATATTATGGAGTGGATGGTGTAATTTTGAAGTGGTTTAAAAGTTATTTAACAAACCGAAAACAATTCGTTTCTTTTAACGATCCTTGTCAAAAAAATATTTTAGATTTTTCATGTGGTGTTCCGCAAGGATCAATTTTAGGGCCACTTCTTTTTTTAATATTCATTAATGACTTGCATAAAGCTTCTAATCTTTTAAGTATTATGTTTGCGAATGATACTAATTTTTTTTTATCTGATAACAACATTAATAAACTCTTCACTACTATGAATGAAGAACTCAAAATAATTTCTAGCTGGTTCAAATGCAATAAACTTACTCTAAATATTAAAAAAACAAAATGGGTTATTTTCACTTGATAACTAAAAAATGTTATTTACCCCCAACTCTACCTGATATTTTTATTGGCCATATTGAAATAAAAAGAGATTGCACCACAAAATTTTTAGGAGTATTCCTTAATGAGAACAGCACATGGAAGCAACATATTGATTATGTTGGTACTAAAGTTTCAAAAAATATTGGAATTTGTTTTTCTCACTCTAAACATCTTTTTTCTGAAATGAGAATATTTAATATTTACGAACTTAATATTTTTAATATTTTATGCTTTGTATATATATCTAAAAACAATCTTTCTCCTGCCGTTTTTAATGATTTAATTACTTTGAAACCTACCAATAAATACTCTCTAAGAAATAACAACCTTCTATATAAGCCTTTTTGTCGAACAAGCTTTAACTAATTTTGCATTGATTATCGTGCACCCCATCTTTAGAACAAAACTGTTTTGCCTAATTTTAATTTTGATCTACCTACTTCTTTGCATTTTTTTAAAGTTAAGCTGAAAAATCTTTTTCTCTCCCGTATTATCAAAATTTGACAATAATATTTATATTATGGAAATATTTATTAAACTTTATTATATATACTACAAAGTAATATATGTATGTATATTTTATTTTTATTTTGTTGTACTTATAGTTACTTTATAATATAATATTTTGTTTACACTAGTATAAGGTTCTGACAATAAGATCTTACTGATCTTCTTTCAGATACCTAGTTTTTCAAATGTTAGTAGTATTTGCTTACTTTATAATTTGTATTAATTTTTTATTTACTCTCGTTATATTGTAAAAACGAACTAACAAATGTAAGCTAAAATATTTAAAAAAAGAAAAAAATAAATAAAAAAAATACAATACAACAACAAATTGCTAAAAAGCTGTGTTGTGTATATACACCACAGCTTTTTGGCTAGTGATATTATTATTTTACTGTAACTAAATGTAACATAGCGACGAGTCTGTAATGATTCGATAGCTGCATATTGTAGTTTAGTAGTTATCGACACGGTTGTTTTAAACAAAACTAATAATATAATAATAATAATAAAGATACAACCACAAGTTAAAAAATTTAATTTGGTATAAATTGAAATCTGGCGGATTTTTCTGTGCAATCGTTGAGCCAAAAAAAAATAAGTCATGAATTAGGTTGAACTTATTAGCCTTGATTAAGTTTAATAGCAGACACAGGTAAGCATGAATTAAAGCATCATTTAACCAATCATCTGAACATAGTGTTTTTAAATCTTTACTGTTAATTATGCAACTATCAACAAGTTTTTCTTAGGGTAACAGTCCGATAACTCATGATTCAAACTCATACATTCCGTTAAAGTAATTTTTTACCTATGCGATGCGATTGCGTTAAATTCTTCATGATTATTGAGACAAACGCTTCTTTCTTTTTTTTTCTTCGCATTGTTGTCATGGTCAATCTAGGTATGAGGAGCCACCTTGACATCAATGTGGCTCCTCATACCAAGATCTCCGATTCGTGGTTACTTTCTTCGTAGCCGTTGTTTAAGAACAAGCTTGTTTCGACGTAGCTGCCTTAAGTTTATAGACTTTTTTTTATAGAAGTGCACCAACAAGACATTGTACAGCTTTGACATAGTAACATATATTTACTGGTCTACATGAACATGTTTTTTATTGTATTAATCGTAACAAATATGCCTCCTTTCTCTTTCCTATCACCAAAAAACACTTCATTGATGGATTGAATTTAATTAACCCGTTTAGGGTTAGGGTTTAGGGTCGCCGACCCGTAGCTTATACAATTTTTTAAATGCATTTTTTGTTATTAAGATATCTAGATTTATAAGAACTAATTGGCTTTTACTGTGGTTTTAGATGAGGTCTAAAGTTAAAGTGAGGAGGATCGGCACATTAAAGCATTGTTTTAATTTGAAATAATAGTTAAAGTTTAACTTTTTTTTTTCTGTATGTTTAAATTTTATTCAGTTTTTGTTCATAGCAAGCATTTGTAATTTTAAATGTTTATATTTTTTTGAAATATGTTTATAAGTTATTTTTTTAACATTTTACCTTTAATCACTTATTTGTTTTAGTTGTAAACTAGTCTATTTAAAAAATTGTTTTGTTTTTTTTCCCATTTAAATTTGATTTTTTTTGGATGGAGGGGAGGTAATCAAATGTTGACTTAATTTTAAAGGGAGTCTCTCAAAGTTTGACAAGTTGTTGACAAGGGGAAGGGGGGAGGTAAAATTTGCCAAAAGTTTGTTGACATAATTAATGGACAGACCCTTACAGCTGCACATCATAAGCGCAGGAGTTAATTCGGAACATTTACTGCAAAGAAATTTTTTAATTTGAATTTTTTCATTCATTTCCTTCCGTCCATATATATATATATATATATATATATATATATATATATATATATATATATATATATATATATATATATATATATATATATATATATATATAGGGTGGGTCATAAAAAATTTTTATCTTGTTACAGGCTCTAAACATCGCTAGAAAGTTGTTTTTTTATGTACTTATTCAAGAAAGTATTTACTTTTATGGATTGAACAATGTCTTCCACCCGCAACTATAATTACAAAAATTAGCAGGCCCTATTATTATTCAAAAAAAATGTTTTTCAAAACTATGTGATGTAGGTACTCAAATAAAGCGAAATTTTATAAAAATTTCAAAAATAATTATTTTATCATATAAAAATTATTATTTTAGATTTTATTGCATAATAACTATAGTTTTTTGACTAAAAGTGAAAAGGTGCATTTTTACATGTTTTTTAATAACAATTTTTTTGGCAACATGATTTTAATAAAACAATTATTATTTTCGAACTTTTTATAAAATTTTGCTTCTTTTGAGTACCAGGTTGACTTACTTTTGAAAAACTTTTTTTCTCCATAATATTAGGGTACCGGTAATTTTCCCAATAAAGTTGCGCCCTTTAAATCTATCACAATCATTCTCATATTTGATAGTATCAATATTAATAACTGTTAACAATGTTTAGAGCCTGTAACAAGAAAAAAATTTTTTTTGACCCACTATAATATATATATATATATATATATATATATATATATATATATATATATATATATATATATATATATATATATATATATATATATATATATATATAATATATATATATATATATATATATATATATATATATATATATATATATATATATATATATATATAAATATATATATATATATATATATATATATATATATATATATATATATATATATATATATATATATATATATATTATTACAATGTCACTTGATAAAATTTTTATTTAAAATCTACTCTCACTATTAAATGTGATCTATATGACAAAATAAAATTGGATTTAAAAGTTTTGTAATAAAAAATATTTTTAAGGGTGGACCAAGGCCCTTGAACATTTCCCTAGTATTACAAAAACAAACTTTTTTAAATGGTCTCAAATGAAGCAAAAAAATTAAATATCAATTTAAGTCATAATAGTTATTTTATAACAGAAATATTATTTTAGATGAGATAAAAAGTTGAAATTTTTTAAGTAAAAATGAAATAAGTCCGTTATTACAAGTCTTTTTTTCTATTGATTAATATTAATTTAAAAAAAATATATACATATTTTTAAAATTAAAAATACATGTGTATATTTTTAATTTTAAAACTTTTTACGTGTAAGTTTAGATAAAAAAATTATATTGGAGTTCACATAAATAGTTTTGAAATAAAAACTAAAGTTCAAATCAAAACAATATTAACAACTCTGCAGAATTTAATGCTACAACCACTGCAACAAAAACTTCAACAAAAACATCAGCAACATTACAAATAGTAACAACAACGACAATTGTTAAATTAGTTGTGTACTTCATAAACTCTAAGTAGGTTTTTGAACCTTTAACTAATTTCATAATTTTGAACGTGAAAATTATGTGGTTTTTTGAAAAACTGTTGAATAGTTTTTTGACTTAATATTACTTAGAGAAAAATAAAAAAATGTTATAAAAACCTTGTTCAAAAAATCTCATTCAAATTATTTATGCATTTTTGCGACTTTTTTTGACTTTCATTTTTTTTATCTTCGTAAAAAATAACAAATATTTATTGATTGAAAATAAAGATTATTTAAAAAAAAAGTTGTTTAAAATTTTTATATTTTCTTATTGCTTTCAAGCTTTGTGTCTTCTTTAGTCAGTTCATTTTGAGATGTTTCTTCTTTAGCCAGTTCAGTGCATTCTTCAATAAGTGGAGTAAACTGTTCTTTTTTGTACAACATGATAAGACTAAATACCATAATTGTGCTGAGTAAATTAACAAAGAAGTATGCCCAGCCAACGGCAAAACTTGTTCCCCATTTATAACCGTCATCTATCATTTTCTGAAATGTTTCAGTGTAGATACTCATTGCGACAAGCATGCATATACCTAAACCACAAAAAGCAAATAGATTGAAAATCTAAATCTAGTTTATTAGAAAATAGACTAAAAAAAAACCTAACTTAACAAACCAAACTTATTTTGTTCAATTATACAGTTATCTTTTTTTGCCTAAGTGTGACACTATCTTAAAAAAATCAAAAGTTAAAAAGAATTTAAATCTATGTAATTAAATAAATAAAGTAAAATCCTTTAGATTAATAATGCTAGTTAGGGTATTTAATTATGGTTTAAATTTTTTATTAATTTACACTAGTTGTGCCGAGCACAAAATCAGGTAGTTGTTAAAATGAGATTGTTGTCAAAATGATGCGCTCTTCAATATAATGTGATTGCAAATAAGATATGGTTGTTTGAAGTGATGTGGTTGTCAAAATGATGTGGTTGTTAAATGGTGTGTTCGTCAGTATAATGCGGTTTTCATAATAAAGTTATAGCAAAAACGTGGCATGCGCAGTATAATTTTAAATACCTGCAACATACTTTTTCCCGTTACCCAAAACTACCCCAGAGTTTAAAAAACGCAAATTCTGTACTTGTGAGTATCAGGTCTCTGGTTAATCTAGGATTAGAATGTTATAAGTTTTTAAGAAAGAAAATCTGTATTTTTTACTGCAAATGCATTCGAACTTATTGAAAACACAATATCCGTCTAAAAAATGTAGTTTTTCAAAAATATTTTATAGACCTATATACTTTTGATTAATTAAAAGACTTAAATGGGTGGTTTTGCCTAAATGAAGTTATTTTTAACTCAAAAAGACTTTTGATTTTTTTGTCTAACTCCAAACTGATGGTTTCAAAGGTCAGCTTCAGTATCAAAAAACATAAGAATGACAACTAACTGCAATAGACGCTAGTGTTGAGACATCTATCTTTTCGTTTCTTTTGATTTCTATTTTTCTTCACAATCAAAAGGTTCTATCTCTGTTAAACAAGTAACAAATTCTAATCCTGAAAACCAAACTGTTTTTTTACGGCAATACTTTAATTTTTACCACAAATAAAATATTGCCATAGCGTCATTCCATCATCGTTATATGAAATTAAATGGATTAAACAAATATTTGTCATCATGCTCTCATTAACTGATTTTAACTTATTAATTTCAACCTGATACTTTTCAATCTTTTGAGCATCCAAAAAACAAAAATTCCTTTCTTGATACCCTGGGCTGACATATAACTATTTCCAGCGTTAATATATGCAATAATGTATCTCTTTACAACAGCACTTTCATGATCACATTGGTAATTACCTTTTTGCAGTGGCGGATCTAGCATTTTTTGGTCTTTGAGAAAGCTAACTTCCAGACACGGAGCAAACTCCAAACATTTATATGTTTATTCTTATGTCAAACAAGGATGCTTTGCAAAAAATTGCTATGATTGGAGGCTGGGAACAAAAAAGTTCCTAAATTTTTGCCTCCCCCCTGCTCTAAACGTGAGAGCAACAAGTTGATGAAATATTTTTTGTACTATTTTTAACTAGACTTATATTCATCGATAAATTTTAAGTTTCATAGTATTATTTCTCAGCGTTCAAATAATATGACCATATAAACTTAAATGGTCATAATTTTTGAACGCTAAAATATTTTATTATAAAATATAAAGTTTGTAGATGAATATAAGTCTAGTTAAGAATCGTACAAAAAATATTTCATCAACTTGCTGCTCTCACGTTTGGGCCAGAAGGGGCGAAAATTTTGGGTTTTTTTTGTTCCCAGCCTCTAATCATCGCAATTTTTTGCGATGATTAGAGGCTGGGAACAAAAAAAACCCAAAACTTTCAGACATGGAGCAAACTCCAAACATATAATTGTTTGGAGTTTGCTCCATGTCTGGAAGTTAGCTATCTCAACGAACAAAAAATGCTGGATCCGCCCCTGCATTTTTGTGGTTCGTTGTAATCATATCTTTTACCGTGCAAATATAAAATAAAGGTACGGTAACAGAAGTAGCTGAGTAACACCTTAAAATAAAAACAGATAATGATTTATAAAATCTAGTAGTGGGTAAAAAAAAAACTATCATTATAGGCAAGAGCCTAAATTAATACGCCCTCCACCTAATATGCAATTAAATTGCAAGGCTTTTGTTTTTTAACAATAGTTATAATAACAGTAGTTATATTCTTACTAGAATTATTACTTTATAGATCTATTTCACACTTGGAACATCTTTATTAAACTGGTTAACTACTTGGTCAGCCACATAAAGTATCTCTTGCATCTTGACCACTTTTTTGCATTACTGTGTGATATACTCTTTTCTTTAATTCACAAACATCATTTTTGTAAAAGTTCAGTTGATCTTTATTGACCTTTCTTCCAAAAATAGGCTTTCTGCAGGGCCGAGGACACTGGAGGGGCCAGGGGTCATTCCCCCTCCCCCTCCCGACACACACATACACTTTTTTTCTAAAGGACCTTTTTTTTATTTTAGAAAATTCTTGATATAGAGGACTTCTTATAGAAATTCCGTGTCGTCGGCCATGTTCTGTCCTTCTCTGAACTCAACTGATAAAAAAGTGATTAGTCTCAAAAAAAGTATTTTTTGAGACTAATCACTTAACCATAGCCAGGGCTGAGAGTGGGGGGCGAAAGGGACACTTTGTCCCAGGCAGCAGATATCCAAGGGGCGCCAAAAAGGTATCTAAATAAAAATGTCCTTTATCTATAATATACTGAAATTTTAAAAAATAAGGACGCCAATCAGTGTTGCTGCTCCAGGCGGAGTGACGGCACTCCGCGGCACTGACCACAGCAAGTCGCTGTGTTAATTTGGCTCATAGCATGCACTATAGCTTTGTTTTGTTGAACGTATTGAAGAATATGCTTTATCCAAAAATATATATATTCAATACTTTTGAGAGTATTGCATTTTAGTTCTTCTTTCTCTTCGTTTTTTGGAATATTCTGATTTTCAATCATTTTTAGACATTCTGTGAGTAAATTGTCATGACACTTTTTAAATAGCTGTCTCAAGTTATTCCATTTTGGTCAAAAGTCCGAAAGCTTTTTTTCTTGTTTTTTCTTTCTGAGTAGGATCGTCGTTAAGATTAAGAAGAGGCGCCTATACATAAAATAATTGTTAATAAGTATGCACAACAACAAATCATATATGCTTTTATTTAATTTTTGAAATAATTTTTAATCACCTTGTAAATAGAATAACTCTTTTCAATGGGTAAACAAGCATCAGCACGAGCTGATCAACAAGTTTGTGAGAGAGTCTTGGGAACCATAACACGTACTCCAGCAGAGAACATTGTTTTTAAGACATCACATCGATGCGTTGTTGCAGGTAAAAAGTTATAAATTTTTTTAAAAAAGCTTAAGAAGTTAACAGCAGCCAGTTGAATTCCGCAGCACTATTTTCAACGAGGTTCAAATAGCGAGCATCAGGCGGAATGTATTAGGCAAGAACGTTGATCTCTTTCCTTTAAACCAAAGTATACTCCATACATATAACTAGTATTGTCGTGTGAGTGGCCATGACAATTTTGAATGTTGATCTATAAATCTAACTTTTTCAAAATAATTTCAAGCATGGAAACTGCAAAATGATTATGCATGGGAATAAATGCTAAGAACCGTTCAACTGGTTCTTCGTTTTGTAAAACATAACGCAGAATAAAGTAGAGTTTGTCAATGTGCGACACATCGGGAGTAGAATCAACAATGATTGGGAAATGTTTCGCAAATTTGATTTTGCTAACTAAGTAATTATGTTTGAAGTAAATAAAAAATGTGTACTACAATATGTTACTTAAGGATGCTCATATAGCCTACAAATTCCAAAACCTTGGCGGCTCTAAAGTGGGTAAGTGCTTCGCAAATGTCTTTAGTTAAGTGCGAGGTACTTCCTTTCCTTTGTTTCCATAAGTTATCAAGTGGCGAGGAAAAGGTCAAATTTTGCTGATAGCTCAATACAGTATAGTTTTTCGTCTTATTGGCGGAATGATAATCCTCTAAGAACAATAAATAAAATATCCAATTATTTTCACTTTCAAAAAAAAATTTAAGCAGCATTCTCACCTGATAAGTGGTATCACGTGATAAATATGATTCAATTAAAGTATATATAACTATTAATTTAAACTTATGTGTTCAAATTTTCTATATATCACACGCAAACCTAAAAGACAGGTGCTTAATAACTTTAATTGTTTGTCGTAGAACTTGGGTCTAACACTCTTTTTCAGTCTGGTATTGCTTGGTAAACTCTAAATGTATCGCTCCTTTGATTGCTTTTCTTCGAAATAAGAATACGTAAATGACATGAAAGTGCTCTATGGCCTGCTCATGTTCTCTAAGGAAAGTGTTGGCATGTTTTCAGTTCCGGAATCCTCTTTTTTCACATAAGCTGCTCTTCGTTTTTCCAAAAAAAGTAGCAAGTTACAGAGAACAAGCTTCTGTTTTTTTTTGAAAACTGAAGCCAATCCCCTAAAACTTTTCTTCCTTCATTATTTCCCGTTCTAAAGAGCAGGTCTGAATGAGCTCAACGAAGTTTACGATGTTTTTCATGGACTGCACTTCATGTGTCTTGTGTACCAAAGTGTTGCCATTTTTATCTTGAGTTTCATTAAGAACTGGTGAAGGGACTGATTTGCACAAAGGGAGAGATTTTTACTAGCCTATCAAAATTTAAGAATTTTTTTAGATTTATTTGCCTTCTAGTAATTTAAAAATTAAAATACCATAATAAAGATGACAAAAATTAAAAATGATTTATACCCTTTGGTTGAATAGAATAGAAAAAGCTCATAGTTGTTGGTAATTTTAAAATAAGTTCATCTCATTTTTTCTTTTTTTCTTTTGCTTCTATGCAAGGAGCTCCTCCAGATTTTCTATTTCCCGGGCATTCGTCTAGACTTTCTCGCTCACCCATTCTACTTCATCAGCTACTTTTAAGTTTTCTAATGAGTATTCTTTATTATTTCAAATAATATCTTATAAATTATAATATTAAAACTTATAATCTATAAATAAATAATTAATCCGTACACTAAACCCAACATCGCTAAAGATAAATATCACTTTTAGGAACGGATAATTATAATGAATGTTTGATTAATAAAACAAAAGTAATAATAACCCCTTAACTGGCGTATATTTAAAAACTACATTCTCTGTAACAACAAAGTGTATTTGTTTAGGATTATTTCAAGTTCTTTAAAAAAGATAAAATGAATAAAAAAATATAAATAAAAAATACAGTTTAAACAACGATTTGAAAAATAAAAGTCGTAAATAAATAGTATTTATACATTATTACTGAAAATAAAAATAACGTCGAATAACACTTCATAAATATCTTTTCACAAATTCAAGTTATTATACAGAATATTCTACACAAACAAACTTTTAAAAAACTTTACTTCAAGACTCATCAAAACGCATTCCATTTTGAATTCGAATTTCCTTCTGAATCATCAAAAAGTCTGAAACGAATTCCATTCTGAATTATTAAAAAACATTCCATTCTTGAAAATCTTTTTCAATAATATTTTTATAACGTTATTGCGATTCTTTAGAGGCCAATAATATTTTTATTTCAAATTATTCCTCTTTCAAAAATTCACTTAGATGCTCTCTGGCCCCTTAAATTCCGAAGCCTCCCAGCACGTTTCCGGTGTGTCTACGGGTTAAACCGGCACTAAACATATTCTCCAATAATCTTAAACAAATACTAATGTAAATATATAAAGAAGGACGTGTTTTGCATTTTCCATATTCATTTTTTGATAAGCTAACTTTATGTTTTGTATAAATGCAAGTGCTTCTGTTTCTTTGCTTCCTGGCTAACTAGAGGGGTGTGTGGGTGCTCTTTATTATTTAATTTTCTTTTATTGTAGTTGATTGTAGAAGTTGATGCCTCATCGATATGAGCAGCCTCATTGATTTGAGCAGCCGTGGCGTAGTGGTTAGAGTTCTAACTCTGAACCAAGGTTCTGAGTTAGAACTCTAACCACGTTCGAGGTTCGACGCCAGCTTTAGCCCAACAAGCGACATTGGTACGGAAGGAGGCATGAACTTCTTCTTAAATGCTCTCCCGCGGTGCTCTATGATAAGACCGTAAGGACTTCTGAGAGCACCAAAAAAAATTACAAAAAAAAAAAATTGATATGTGTGTTTCTAATACGCCATCTCACATCTAGAGCGCTGGTCGCTAAGAATTCGTTACTATTTTTTGAAGAAAAAGAGCTTTCTGAAGACACTAAATCAAATGTTTAAGTAGAATTATTCTCTAATTGGTCATGATTTAGAAAAATGCTGTCTCTGTGTATTCTGCACAGCTTACCAGATAGTGGAAAAGAACTAGGAAAACATTTGTTAACATTTTCATACTGGTTTCTTGTTGCCTTTCGGAGATCTTTTCGTTTGTCTCTTCCTTATTTGTCGGAGAATCTTCATGGCATGGATGTAAGCTTTGGTACATACCATTATCTGCCATACTTCGTTTTGTGAAAAGCACATATAAATTATTTATTACTTAGTTCTACATGTATTCGCGACTCCACTACATGTTTTTCGGTAAACCCATCAGCAAACATTTGTGGTAATTCGTCGCATTTAAATAATCTAGTTAGTCTTAATCTTAAATGTTCCCCACATGAACCTTCAGAAAATAAACCGCATTTTGTATAATCAATATTCGACTCTGAATCAAACTCTTCTATCACTTCAAATCAAACTCTGCACTTTACAAATTTCATGTAAACTTATATTACATAGCAATCCATAAAAAAAAAAAGCTATCATTAAAAAAACACTTAACATATTTACACATAATATCAGTTATTAGACATTGTAATAGTAATTAGTTAAAAATATTTGTAAATTTATAGAAATCATAAACCTCGTAAACGTCCAAAATTGTTCTTCCGCTTTCCACAACTTACATAATGAAATAAGTTTGTGCTATTAGAGATTTTTCATGAATTGTATCGTAAAAAATAGCGGACTTATACATAGCATTAAAAATGTATTATTAAAACGGTATTATAAATATCATTATAATATGCACACTAATAAAAGAATAAGGGTAATTATTTTATTTTTTAAAAGTATTAAATAATTTATTTAAAATCATAAACCTATTCTTGTAGCTAAAATAACTAAGATATTTGAATTCAGGGTGAATTCACAAATAAATAAAACCACCTATTGAAGCTTTTCAATTTATTGAAAGTACATGTGTATAAATCATTTAAAAAAAAAAAAAAACACTTATCGAAACCTTTTAATTTATTAAAAGTGTATAACTCATTTAAAAAAAAAAAAATTAATTGCTCGTTGGCACATAGATCCTTTGCTCCCCAAATTTAACATAAATTTTATCTTAGCATTAATTTTATTTGAAGTTGCAACATTCAAATATGGAACACTTTACAAAATGACTAAGTTTCATAAAACGCTAACTTTAAATCGTCAACGTTTTATGAAATTTCAAACCACAATAACTTTTGAACAGCTTTTGAATTTTGCCTCATTCTTATAAAAAAAGTGCTCCTAAACCATCAAACACTTTAAACTTTAGTTTAAAGTGTTTGATGGTTTTTTAAAAATGTTAAAGTTTTTTAAACTTTTACTTTTTTGAATTCTCATAAAAAATTTGTTCTTAAGTTTGAGTTTTTAAAAAAGAATTCTGAAAAAAAGTTGAGCAGAAATTATTTTCCACTGTTTAAAAACTAGCATGTTATAAAAGAAAAACGTAAATAATAAAAGTTAAACTAATAAAAAGATTTCAAAATCTCCGAATTTTTACTTGAAAAATAATTTGGCGAAAAGATGAAGGTTGATTTCTTGCTTTGTTGATAAAAGTTTGCGTCTCGCTTTATTAATGAAATAACAGCCTCATGCTATGTAAAGTAAGAAACCAGCACAAACAATAAGTTAAATTTGGTTGAGTTTATAATAGAAGAAAAACTTAATCAGTATTTTGTTAATGCAGGTTATAACTAAGCATTAAAAGTAAAACCCATTACAGCAAAATCTGAATCTTTATAAACTATAATAATATAAATGTAATGAACAATCATATAATAATATGAATGAACAATCATTGACGGAAAAAGAACTCCTTAACGTTTCTGCTACAATCTGAAAAGAATTTTATAATATTTATAGTTGTGTAATAAAATAATATAGTGCCGTGAGTTGGGGAATAAGCTAGTGAAGAAATTTTTTTCCTGCTTATGCAATTGAAGATTGATCGCAATTTGTTCTTTTTTAAGATTACAGACTTCAAACTGATAGACGATAGACGTATATCTTCAAAGATAGACGTCTATCGTCTATCGTCTATCTTTAAAAACGGAACTGAACACCGATGAAGACAAAATACTGAAATGAAACAGTTTAGTATGCACTAATAATATATAAAGGAATTACTGCTCGTTAAAATAGAAAACGGATGGTTTTAATAAAATGAGTGTAACTATTTTAAATTATTTCTTTATTTCAGAGATCAAATTTCAGAGATCAATAATTTTTTAACAGTTGTTACAATTCTTTTTGATGTATACCGAACCGTTGATAAATACTTATACTAATTTAGTATATTATTAATGATTCAGTAAATTATTGATATTACTTCAAAAAAGTATAATGAAAAAAACATTATGAATTTATTTA